CAGCAGATCATACCTGCCAAGTTTTGTTCCCTTAGAGCCATTGTATCAGCAACTGATCATCAGAGCACAGCTTTCTCACGTGGGGAGGTAGGTTTGGAAGGCACAGCGTAGAGATAGCATCATATTAAATTGTGTCAAATCACTTTTCCTGTTGCAGGTAGGTCTGGCTGATACAGCGTGCCGCTGTTAGAACATCCAGGGATCCACTTTCACAAGATGAATGCCAAGGTATCGCTACTTGATAGCTCAGGTGCTGGGACAATGACGCTGGCTTGCATGGCAGGACATGGTGCAACTCAGGGTTTCGACTCTTCTGTTTAAATCTGGGACACCTATTTTTAGAGTGCTAGCTGAAACCAAAAGTAAATGTTTGTTTTCTACAGGAGCTGGGTCTTTAATTCTTGACTTGTATTTGGAAATAACAGCTGCTACACATACAAATCCAACATCATGTCTCTACAGAACTGTAAAATAAAACCATTAATGGCTCTTTCATGAGTTGTCTCAGCAAAAAATACAAACACTCCACCTCCCTTCATGAGGAACACAAGTAATAAGGATGTCTTTCCCGTGTCATTTTACTGTGGGGCCTTACTCATCTTTAGACTGTGAAGTTAGCCTGGCTACTGAATGGCACCAGTTAAAGATACTCACTTCCCGAGGATAAGAGTTTCTTAAAGATTATTTTTAATTTGTATTTTTGCAGGTTTTTCACACAGGACATAGATGTATAAACAATTGGAGACCAAATTCAAGGTCCTTTCCTATTTAGAAAAAACCCACCAAACCAAACCAAAACATAAGCCTCAGCAGATGTTTTTTTCCTAATTTGTAAAGGGGTAAAGATTAATAAGAACTCGAGGGTTTAATCCAGATAAAAGAGACAGCTAAATAAAAGAGAAAACATTCTGGTAAATTTTCAGAAGAGACAACCATTTGCTGGGCATTCTATATGGCATTATGTATTCCCAGGTTTGGAGCTGAGTGCTGCAGGCAACTTGCCCTTCAAATTCAGTTTCCATTTATTCTGGCTGCAAATCATAATCTCCTTATCAAGCAGGTATCAAGCCATCTGCTTCTATTCTCAGTAAATGCAGCAAACTAGCATTCAGGTTTGGGGCTAGAGCAAGCACTTTTCTTCTGTCCAGTAATAAATACACCTTTAAAATCCATTAGGCAAAACTGGTCCAATATGAGAAAGCTCTAATGGATGAAGGAAATGTGGCAGCAGTGGAAAAAAACAAAACAAAAAATATCTCTACAGAAACACAAACTCAATTATAGGCTACAGTAAGCTCCAGCACTACAATTTGATTTTTGAGAAAGCTAGTCTTGCAAACTGCTAGAAATGGTGGAAACACCCAAACCACTTTTTTTTTCACAACAGACAAACTCTCAAGACATTCAAAGTTTGGGTTCAGGCAAGCTAAAGGTGTGAAAAAGCAGATGGTTATCTAAAGCCTATGCACATTTCTCAAATTTTCAGAGATGAGACAATGATCCAACTGACAGTCTGTGCCTTGCTGGTCTCTCCCAGAGCACAGCCATGAATAATAACCCAGAACGAGGGGAGACCATGCTCAAAAGCTTTAATTGCTCAAAACAATTTAGTTAGTATTTAATTTTAAAAATTAATTTTTTAAAAGACTTGAAGGCTTGTGAGCTGAGGGCATGAAAGATGAAAAAGGCTATCTATCTCCTCTAGCTAGCATCGACAAGAACAGAGTTCAGTCAGTGGCAAATGTATATAATCACTACAGGAGCCCTAGTTTAATGGAACTTTTTGAAGGTATCAGCCTTGTGGCCAGGATTAATCTTCTGTGTAGTAGGATTGGGATGATGTCCCAGGCTCCACAGCATTCCCTTAATGGGGAAGGGGCTTGGGAGTTGATCTACAGTGTAATGAAACAGCTCCAAATTGCTTCAGTGGCATCCAGGCTCTCAATGCCAAGGTTTGCTTGTACCCTTCCAAAATGAAGAGCACCCTTTTTTTTTTTTTTTGTAGTGCCATCAATTTTGACAAGAGCTCTCTTGGAGAAAGGTACTGCTAGCTGTCAACAGGGGTCACTAATCAGACATTAATAAGCACACCCACTGTACTTCTAACAATGCGAGACAGTATGTTCCAGCCCCTACATTTGAGTGCATAACCTGAACGCATCCAGACCGATGCTAGGAGGAGCACAACCCCACTTTTTTCTGCTATCATTTCTGCAAGAAAGAAGCCTGGGTGCCTGAGTGGGAAGGAAGCTGTGGTGTGCTCCAGGCACTTTGTGGAGGACATCTCCTGTGCTGTGTAGCCATAGCCATGCTGTATTGCAAGGCCAAAGCACAGGAAGATGAAACTTCTAAGTACTTACATTGTAAGCGCATGCCAATTCCTCTCCCCTCATATTTCAGAAGAAAAAAACTTCATCTTTACACATTTTAAAAGTAATTACATTTTAATGAAGACTCAAGGACATTTATATTTGATTACTATCATTTGGCAATATATTCCTTGACCCATTCCAGTGCTGTCCGTTGTTTAAAGCTGGGAATGCTATGAACCATCCCAGAAAGCATTTCTATTTGAGATACATTTTGGAACAGATAAGAATACAGGGTAATATGGCAGGAGCACTGAACACCTTGAGATGAGCATAAAGGAACTCCTGCTTTAAGCATGTAATTTAGCTCTCAGAGTTGAAAAAAGCCTGAGAGGAGGGACAAGTTGTCAGGAGGCTATAGGTCTCCAAATCTGTACATAACTGAGCCTCTAGTAATTTGCTGACAGAAGGTAGATCCCACCAAAACATTAGTGACTTGTGAGGATGCAGGATCCTAAGATGAATTAGAAAATTACCAAGAAAGCATAGCCAGCATGAAATTTGGAAGCCCAGCAGGAGACTTGATACATTCTTTACTAACCAGGGTGGAAACACCCTTGTCCACTTCTGCATGACATACAAAAGATACAAAGACAAGAAGCTTGCATGTATTATGTGAAGAGGCTGCAAGCCCACACATTACTTGTCTTGGTAAACTTTGAAGACAAACTGCCCCAAAACCTGGGAGAGAGAGTATTAAAACATCAGGGGGTGATCTGACCTTCCCTAAATTTTACTGAGCCTAATTTTAAAATATTGAGTGTTTCTAAGCTACTGGAGAAATGTCTAGCTGCTGACTATAATGCTCAAAAAAGGGAGACAGCATGAGTGAGACCTGTGTCAGCCTCCTTACCGTTCATTCCTCTCTTCAGATTATAAGGTCCTGCTGGTAGAGCCCAGATGTCCAGGACACTTTGGAGATCACAAACAGTGAAGATCCAGAGACTTTGGTCCTGACTCACATAACAGACAATAAAACTGCTTCTGTCTCAACAGTTCAATGCATCGGGTAGTCTGGAAGAAGCCTGACCACTTTGCGTACATTTACTTTCACAAGGTAGAGACGTACTAGAAATTTCCTGACACATATTTTTAATTTTATAATATGAATTTACCTACAGAATTTGACTACTATGTCTACTTTGCAATAATGCATTAAAAAAAATCCCTGCTTTTACAGAACCGAAATTGTTAAGAGCAAATGTATCCTATATAAAATTTGCTTATTCACTGTCATCAGTTCTGCCCCGTTCATATCATGCAGAGGAGGGAAAATCCTTTTTAAAGAAAGGATTGTATAAAATTGACAGAATTCCTCCCACCTTTGCATGTTGCTTTCTGATAAGCTTTACGGACTGTTGTGTTAAATATGCTCCTTTTGATCCAACTCCACTTTGCTTTTCAGAAGTTGTGAAATTAAAGGTTTAACAATGACAGGAAGGCTATTTTTACTAGCAGTAGCAGACAGAGAATAAATAGTACCTCAATACAGATTCTCAGGGCTTGTACTTACTTAACATAGTTTTAAAAGCAGTTCTTTCTGTGGTACAATCTTATTTTTAATCTCCTTTATAGTTTGTTTTTTTTTTTTTTTTTTAACAGCAGCGAGCCCAAACAATGGCATAAACCACACCACAAAAGACATTTCTAGATTTTAATTCATAATCTGAGCAAAAGTTGATTAACTTTTTTTAGATATGTTAATCTAGTATTATCAATTTTTAAACTTCTGATTTATAAAACCCCTTACAGTCAATCTATAAGCATTTGTGGAAGCTTTGGTTATAAGTATTCACACCAGAAGGTCAGCAAGTAAAGGTGCAGATGAAAAGCAGATTTGACTTCAAATGTATCTTTTCACAAAGGTGATGATAGTCTCTGGCCCTCGTTACAGTTTCTCTCACACTTTCAGGTTTTACTAGTTAATTCCACTTTAAAAGCATGATCTTTCAAGCTGAAGAATAATGAAAACAGCAGTGCAGTGACCATATAAACACCACAAAGTTAGATTAAATCTGTGCATTTGAGAATAATTTTTAAAAGATATTGCACACTGACTAATATCACCCCTAGGCTTACATCCCTCATTATTTGACACTCAATAAATGTTGTAAACCCCTATATCTTTGGGGGCAAAACTAAGATAATTTCTGAGAGATACCCTTGGCCAAACTTATTGCTGGCATAGTGCCAGGGAAATCCATCAGGATAGATTTGATTTGCAAGAGCAGTATTTGCAAAATCTGACAGATATTTCAGTTCCCCTCTTAAAGCCCTCTCTACAAAAGATGCTTTATTTGAAAGAAGAAAAACAGAACAGGAAACCTTTGTAAATATACCTCTGCTTTTAACTCCTTTCAGATTGAGGAGCTTCATGACACCTAGAAAGAGAGCTGTCACAAAAATACAATGCCAGGAAAGTTTTTCACAGAACACATAATTCAGCTACCAGTTAGTACCTTCTTCTCCAACACGCAGTCTTTCAATCACTGAACTGGGGGGGGGGGGGGGGAAAACACCAAACAAAACAACCAGACAAAAACCCCCATCCAGCTACTGACAGCTAAGCTTTTGCTCACAAAACACCCCACAGATATGACAAGTCTATCCAAAAAAAGCCAAAGAACTTACCTCCTACAGTGCAAACACAGAGTACAGCTAGGAAAAAGAAGGCAATCCCCAAGAGCTTCATGCTTGGTGGTGGTGGTGCTGTCACCTCTCCCTTACACAGCTGGGCAGGGAGTGCTCTCTCACTCTGAGGCAGACCTTAATTACTCCATGGAAAAAGGTGTGTAGAGACTGTGCCTAGTCACTGCCCATTCCTGCTTATTTTGGGGACTTTGATAAAGAACAGGAGGAAACACAACATACTCCCTCTGGGAGTTCAGTACGGAGGAGATTTATTGTTTCAGTCCTTACAGGAACTCCTTTTCTTTGGCAGTGAACTGTGTTTTTGTTAATACATTATTTTGTTCTTCTTCGGCCACGAGGTCAGGAAGGCTTTTGAACAGACGCAAATCTTTCTTTAGAATATGCTATACATCACCAACCTTCATATTGTAGCCAGGGATACTTCTAAATGGAACATTTATGAGCAGTGAGGAGCCCAGGTAGTGGGAGATAATGCAGCCAGGAACAGAGGAGCAAAATAAGCAACAGGAGCCCTCACCTGGCTCTTCTGTGTGTTGTGAAAAGTGGCCTTGGTGAAAATCACAGCTGCTTCACGTTAAAGGCAGAGAGAGCCTCCCGGAGAGAGCTGCCATCCTGCAACTAAGAGGATGCAAGGGGTCACCGGCACAGCATGAGGAAGTGACTCCAGCAAGGTGTCCCAGCAGGAGGTGGCTCTGGACTCCTCAGAGCTAGGGCTGGGGTGTGTGTTTTTTTTTTTTTTTTAAATGAAAACTGGGCTTTTTTTTTTTTTTTTTTTTTTTTTTTTTTAATTTGAAAAGTTGCAACTAGCCTTGAATGTGTCTGCAGTAACAGAAAGGTTTTCTGTTCTTCTGTATAGGTACTTGCAGTGCCATGGGATGGGAATGCAGTTCCCAGAGTGAGCCTCTTACCTGGGCTGTCTAATAAGCCAGCACAGAATCGCTCTCTTCTCCTCAGGACCTGCTGATCTGGGAAACTTTGGTATCCCTCCTTCTCACAGACATTTCTCTGACTTCTGTGGAAGAAACCCAAGCAGAGGTCTAGAGTTAAAGTCTGTCAGAGCATGATCTTGTAATAACCTTGTGCTCTGTGCCTTAACAATTCAAGGTAGCTGATGGCAATTAATCACAAAACTTCAACCACTACGAGAATGCAGTACAGTATGTTTGCTCATCTCTGTCTCTGTCAACTCTCTGGTGGAAAATTTGACCTCACAAACAGCCTGACTCATTAAAGTCAGTCCCACTTATTGCAGTAATTAAGATTTTTTTTCCCCCTCATGGCTGTTTCTTGCTATAAGGGGAAGTTTTGGAATGGCTTCACATGCAGGAACTCCCAGGAGCTAAGCCACAGCACTTCTAACAACAGTTCTGTTTTATTCATGGGATGAGGAAACCAGTAGCAGCTCAGCATCGTGTGTGGAATAACTTTTGTTTAGTTAAAATTAGATTTCTACATCTTAAGGCTATGACACATCCTCTGCCTATTGTAGGTGACAGAAGCTGGTGCTCAATAGAAATCTGATGGTAGACAATGAATTTCTGACACGTCATCTGAACAAACTTAAGTATTTGCATCCATGAGAGATGCAAACATGTAAGTTCTCCTTAGCAAGACTGTTTTCACCATCATTGGAAAGGATCACAGAGTAATACAAAGTTGATTCAGAGTAGAGGTGGGCCACACAATGACACTTTTGTCAAGTTGATTGGAGCATATGGCAGGGAGTTAGTGCTAGTGCTCTGTTTTTATGCTAGTTTTGTGTTGATGTAGGACCTAAAGTTAGAATGGGCTAGAAAAACAGTAAGTACTGCAGCAGAAAGCCTTCAAGCAAAAAGATAAATCTGAACATGGAGAGTGAATTCATTGTGGGTTAGTACTGTTTCTGATATGATAAGAGGGGCTCTAACCTTTTATTTACTGCATTGCCAAACCACCACCTGAAGTGTTAATTTTGAAGAAGGATACAGAAAGGAATACTATTTTATGGACTGAAATGAAACCTCTGCAAAATCTAAGAGGCCTGAGGACAGGATCTCTTCCTTGGATTTTGAGACCTAGAGAAATTATCTGAGTGCCTAAGAGAGTATTGATTCATTTCAGTGCTGTTCATCTGAGTAGCAGCATCCCAAGGAGCCCTCAGTGCACTGCTGCTACTGCTGAAGATGATGACTGTGGTGGTTACCTGCAACTCACTGAGGGCAGGAAGGGCACAAAATGCTGCAGCCCTGAAGTAGCTACCAATATCACAAGTGTGGAAAAAGCTCTCCAACCTCATGCAAGGCACTGGGAGGGAAAGAAAGAGAAAGGGCCAGTGCCTTTGCCTTACACCATGTCATGTAACTTGAGTTGTATCTCAGAGAGTCCTAAGGCAATTTACTGCCTCCCTGAAGCATAGCAAGAACTGAGATACTAATGTCAACATCAAAGGCAGCTAACTTTTGCTAGATCGAACTTGGTATGAATAGCAGCTGCACGCACAGTAAGGAATAACAGGAATAGAAGAAGAGCAGCTCAAATAACTCACTGAAGGAAAAACTCTGGACAAAGGTAAGTTGTAGCTTCTGGCTTGGAATATCTGAGCTGCAGAAGAGAGATTCTCACAACTCTTGTCAATGGAAACATTTAAGGTGTTAAAAACTTCCAGCGATCTTTGTAGCAAAAGATTATATCTCTATGCATTCACTGAACAGAAATCTTCTCTTTTCCTCCCTACCAGCAAATAAGTTTTCCTTTATGGAATAAATATTTTTATTTCCTCAAACCAAGAAACTTAGCTACAGTGCCAACATGTGCTTTGTTTTATAGAGAGAAATTTGGTCATTGGTACTGCTGCCAACTGTGGTATTACTGCCAGTGCTGGAATAGCTGGAGTTTGACTTTGAGCCCCAGAACAAGTGACTGTGTGACAGTCCCAGTTTCCACATTTTTTCAAGTAAGATTTTAGCTCTCATAGTTGCAGAAGAAAACTTGAAACATGACCAAAGAGCACACTAGAGAATGAAAGGACCTTCTGTTTTAAAATATGGTTATTTTGTAGTCCAATAATGGTTGGGGTAGCCTGAGTTACATATTTATTTTTGCCAGTGTGGTATTTCATTATTAAAAGGAAACCATGTACTGCCACAGTGGATTTGCAGTTACAGATTTATTCGTCTCAGGCTGTATTTATATATTCTTTCTTAGTTCACATTGCTTGGAGCAAAACATTGCCTTTTTATGCACAGTTCTCCTACGAGGTTCAAATAATCCCCTTCAGATTTAGAGAATGTAAAAATTTTACATATCGTTCAATATACTTGAAGCACAACTGCATAAAACAGGAAATAATATGAACAGCCATGCTGCCTTGCTGTGGGCTACTGGCAATTTCCAATGTGGGTGTGAAGAGTAGATTTGTCAAAGTCTTTACAAAAACAAAAGTTAAAAGATACAGAAAATACACCGTCTTTGATGATTTACTAAAATGAAGAAACACACACAATGACTAAATTTGCTGGCCTTTCCCATTGATGCTTGCTATTTACTGCTGGTTATTTTAACTCTTACAGCAGAATGATAGAAAAAGAGTGTGCTAATCTCAAACTCCTATTGTTTTGCTAATCTGTATTTCAGCAAATATATCTACTGATACTTTATCAGAAATTATCTATGATTTACCTGTACATTTGGTTATACTGCCATAAGCAGGGTAAATTTACACTGAAAAAATGCAGTTGTAACACTGTAGAAATACAGTTTTGTTACGCTTTTTCTGTTATTTTTTAAAATTTTTAAAGTGCTTGTTTTAGTCTATTACATATATTAAAATTTTAATATGCAGTAGAACTCCAAAGAACTTGAATAGGGCAGTACAATACCAAGAGATTTTGATGGTTACATACAGATGGAACTCTGAAAATTCATGCTGAGGGACATTTTAAAATGTAGATACTCTGTTCTGAATTTTTTATGGAAGCATTGGAACATTTCAGGGAATAGAAATGTCAGTGCCCAAATTCCTCTGCACACAATAATATTAAAAATATGAAAGATCAGTCTCACAAATGTATTTAAGTGCTTAAGAAACCAAGATAGCCACCTTTTCTTTGTATCACGGAAATGCTTAAATCTCATTGATTTTCTTCAGAGCCAGCCACTAATGTGAAAAATTCCACTAAATCTCTACGTGCCTAGATCTCTTTAAGTAGGCACTAAAGACCAAAATGCACTTAGTATGTATTCAGTACTCTTTTTACAAAAGATATTTTCAAGGCCACATCTAATAGAATTACTGCAAGTCTAGCTATCAGGCTTGAGTACTGTTTATTTGCAATACCAACGGACTGTGTGAGGATATCTGTTACTGCAGAGCATGTTTTTCCTACTCGTTCATACCTGGGAACTCTATTGATGCACTACAGGGAGTGTAAATATGTTCGAAGGAACTGGCTCAATGTTTATTCACTTGCAATTGATACAAATCAGGACCATATTTGTAGAAATGTAGTTGCCACTCTGATAGAGTGCCAGATTTCAAAGGATGTTGTATGTTTGAGGTATTCAGTAGATACATGTCCCTGTCAAAAGTGTGCAACAAATTTATGCTCCCAAGCTACCTCTGTCCATCTCTCTCTTACTGTACGTTCCCATTGCTGCTGCTTGCAAAACTCAAGATAGAAAGAGAGCTCTGCACTTATGGGTTTCCTGTTCCCAAAACTGCATTTCCATTCTGAGCCACAGTTTATTTCACTGTCTCAGGAGTCTTGGGTATCAATAGAGACAATCTCATTTTTGTGCTCAGTCCTTATTTTGTAATCCAGTAGACAATATATTTTAATGGAAGGACACCAATTTACTCTATAGCCGATGACCTGATTCACTGGCTTCAGGAGTTACTCAGGTCTAGTTTATCTACTTGAAAAGCTGTACTTGGTTGTTTTTCTTGACTAGTCACCCTGTTGTGCTTTGACTTTGTGAGCTCTTCACTTGGGAGTTGCAATGTGCTACTAAACAGCTAAGGTCCTTCTAAGAACACCGTTCTACGTCCATTCTTTCTCTATTGGTGAGTTACTGATGTATGGATATTTCCATCTTGTTGGTCAGAGAGAAGCTGAAGCATAACTACAGTGGCAGAGAGAAGAAAGTTATAGAGGAGAAGGTACTGCTGCCCAGAG